AAGATAGGTGTGTACCAGAATGCCTGGCTCTACTTTTTTTTTTTTTTCATTGAAGTGAGATTCCTCTATAAAATTAACCATTTCAAAATGAACAACTAGCACATTCAAAATGTTGTGCAACAACCACCTCTATCTGGTTTCAAAATTTCTGCATTATCCTAAAGAAGCCACGGTACCTATCAAGAGTCACTCCCCTCAAAATACCTTTGATGTTTTGGTTCCTTGTTGGCGGGGGCGGGGCTGCCTCTTGGTCCAACTGCAGAGGTGCTGTTCCCACCAGTCTGATTTAGGGGTGTGTCCCGGGGAGCACCGTTCCCTCCAGGAGTGACCGACCCTACTCCAGACCCTCTGGCTTCCCAGCAGCAGTGGCTACCGTCCCGTCCCAGGAGCCTCAGACCTCCGGAGCTGGTGGCCAGGCCCTGGTCTCCCTGGCCAGGACAAACCTGACCATGCGCAAGCCGCGCCCCTGCCTGGGCCGCTCTGTTCCCGTGGGACCCGACGCAGCCTGCAATTTCAAATCCGCGAGCACCTCCCTCCCGGCCACCTCCCCTCCCTGTGCAGGCCGGTCCTGTCCCATGTGCTGGTTCCCAGGGCCTCGGTCTGGCAAGCCGCCCCAGTCCGGCTTGGGAAGTTAAACCAGACCTCGGGGGGTGGGGGTGTGATTCTGGGAATCCCAGAAGTCAAGACTCAACCCCTCCAGGCCAGCCTGCTCGCCAGCACCGCTGGGCGGAAGGTACCTCCGCAGACCTTGGGAAACTTCTCATTTCGAAGAGTGGAGGCGGCGGCAGGAGTGGATGGTCAGGGCGGTGGGGACCAGGTGGAGTGGTTGGTGGTAGGCGGTGGAGACCAGAAGCCAGCAAACGTGTTCCCAGTATTATAAACAGCTACATTAGGTATAAAGATTCTAGGCTGTCAGACAGGGCGAGGCCCTAGAGAGATCAGTGCAGAGGATGAGAACACATTACAACTGTGGCCTGAGGCGTGTCTGGTGGAGGCCGGGCTTACATGTCTCCCAGGGAATAAGATAATTTGGTATCACCTGGTCCAATAAAATCTAAATAGAAAATAGTACCCCCCAAAAGAAAAAAGAAATAGATATCAGTCACCCCCAGTGGGTGACCAAGACCTCCTGATCCATCTCTTCCTTAAAAAGTCTTTGTTCTTTCCATGTATACTTGCTAATGACCTGCTTCCCCATTGGATCAATATTACCTAAACGGTAATCCTCGTAATCTTATTAGTTGATCATAGTTTTGACCCACCTTGTGATTTTGCTCTATAAAACCTCCTTTGAGAAGTGGGCTTGTTGGCAACCCACTTTCGGGTCCCCTCCTGTCTGTCAGGAGCTGTCTCCCTCAATAAATGTTTCTCTTTTTTTTGTGGTATCAGGGATCAAACTCAGGACCTTGCGCTTGCAAGGCGGGTGTGGTGCCACTGAGCCAAATCCCCGGGCCCAATTTTTTTTACTCTTGACCTTGGTTATTTCTTAGAATTCATTGGTCGATTTAGGGGAACACAAACTCAGCTAATCTAGCAGGTTGGGGTTGTATTATTTCCCCTATATCACCAGGACTTCTAAGGCTCTTTTACACAAAACAACAACAAATAGTTTGGTCAAAATAGCCGGATTACATATAAATTCACCTGGGTTACTAGGAGGTCTGTGAAAAACTGAACAGCTCGGGGGTGCAAGTAGGATTTTGATTGTTCTACTGGAGGGAGAGTTTAAACTCCGTGGGGAGTCTTTTTGTAAATGAATCTGCTTCTTGAAATGGAAATACTGACAATACAATGTATTGCAGCCTTTCAAAGAGCTTTGCCAGGCTGTTATCTATAAACACTGGGGATCTAATATGGAGCCGTTCTACAGATGTGTACATTGATGTCCAGGGGGAGCTCAGTAACCCTTCAGCTTGGGGTCTGCAAGTCTCGTTAATTATTGGAAGTAGGGGCTGGGGTGTAACTCAGTGGTAGAGATCGTGCTTGGCATCATGTAGGAGGCTCTGGGTTCAATCAGTGCCAAACATGCACATGCACGGATGCGGTAGAAAGGGAGGGAAGGAAGGAAGGAATGAAAGAGGGAGAAAGGTTGAAATAATTTGGGAAGCTTGTAAAACAGTGGTTCTCATCTCTCCAAAACCTATTCACATCGGGTACGTCTGGATGGGATCCTTTTGTATAAAATCGCCCTGGCGGCCCTGTGCCTGTCTTTACTTGGGAAGTCTGCCGACCTCTTGGAAAGAAAATTGGGGCCTGGGATGAGCGCCTGGTGGGCTCCCCAACATATCAAGGGCCTCTCTGAGGGGGCGGGGTAGGGGAGGGCCACAGCTGCCGAGACAAGGCCCACTCAGGACAATGGAGAGCTTGCTCAGGCAGATTCTGCCAGTCCTAAATTTCACAAGAAGTCATTTCCTTTGGGGACAGGGCCGAGCACTAGGAACCCTACAAAGGGCTGGCTTGATAAACCACCCATGCTGAAGGACAGAGGTCTGGAGCTACGGGGCAGCCAGCTCCTTTTATTTTGGCAGCTTATCAGACTTCCAGACCCCACCTACTTCCTCTCTCACCCAACCAGGTGGCTGAGGGAGTTGCCCTAGAGCAGTGGTGGTGAACCTGACTCGTTATTGTATTTCTTTTAAAATGAAAGATGTTAATGTATGAGTTGTTTTTTCTAAATTAAAATTTCAGTATTCTGGTTTAATTGCAGTGTTGGCACTTTGTGATAAATAAGTGGATTTGGGGGTCGCACTTTGCCATCAGTGCCCTAGGGACGCAGCCAGGCCCCCGTGGGCCCTTGTCCTTTCTGGCTGGGGAGGGAACCCTGTCTTTAGCTTTCTGCCAATTTAGGATTCCTTTTCCATCCTGGGCCTGAACCCTAAGGAGGAAAGAAAACAGTGAAGTGGGGGAGGGCAGGCAGTCCCCTCTCTGGTCAGCACCCGAAGCCCAGGCTAATGGACCCACATTTCCCAGGCCAGCACAGGCACGGGGTTGGGGGGTAAAAGGACAGGAGTCAGCAGGCCCCAGGGTTCAAGGCTGTTTGGCCAGTCCAGGAGAACAGGGTTCTGGGCTGTGTCTCTGTTGAAGTCCCCAGAAAGCATACTGTGTCTTGGAAGCCCAATGTTTTTATTACAAATAGTGTAATTTTGCATTCTGTTATAAATTGTATCTGTGTTAATTCTGCTAGCAAACTTTTCAGTTAGTTACTTGCTAGTTAAGTGACTTAATCTCCAGCCCTGTGTAGTGGTGCATACCTGTAAACCCGGCACTCTGGGAAGCTGAGACAAAAGGATTGGAAGTTTGAGTTTAGCCTGGGGAATTTAGTGACCATTTCAAAACTTAAAAAAAAAGTGATTTTTCTTTTTTTTCTTTTTTTGGTACTGGGAATCGAACTCAGGTCCTTGCACTTGTGCAGCAGGCAGTGAAACCACTGAGCTACATCCCTGGCCCCGAAAAAAGTTAAAGGGGCCGGGGACGTAGTTCAATGTAAAGGTCCTGGGTTCAATCCTCAGTACCAATTTTTTTTTTTTTTTTGGTACCAGGGATCGAACTGGGGTCCTTGAGGTTGCACAGCAGGCGAAATATTATATGAACCTCCTTTTATTATTTTTATTTTTATTTTTGGTACCGAGGATTGAACTCAGGTCCTTGCGCTTGTAAGGCAGGCAGTGGAACCACTGAGCTAAATCCCTAGCCCCCTCAGTACCAATTTTTAAAAAATATCTTCCCCACAAGGACCCGAGTTCGATCCCCGATACCAAAAAAAAAAAAATCTTCCCCTAAAAAGACTTTAATAAAAAAAATACAGTGTTTATCCTGCAGCTTCATGAGGTGTTGATTTTCATATTCTGGTTTTGAAAACTCAGAACTAGAGAATCTCAAAGGCCTCTTCAACTTCCACAGAGATCACAGCAAAAGGAAAAGATTTGGCAAGTTCCGTGGGTCTGCTTTTCCAAAAATCGCATGCCAAAGAAAAGAAGAAAAAATTGCCAGCCCTGTAGGGGGTCCAAGGCCTGCCAAAGAGGTGATCACCACTGGCCCAGCTATTTCTGTGTTGTCTCCTTTTTTTTTTCTGGTACCAGGGACAGAACTTGGGACCTTGTGCTTTCAAGGGAAGTGGTAGCACCACCGAGCTAAATCCCGGGGCCCTCTCCTTTTGTGGCTTCATCAGGAGCTGTCATCCTGTGTGGAGGCAGCCAGAATCCAGGCTCCCCGCCTGCCTGGACAGCAAAATGAGCTCACTTCTCTTCTTTTTCAGAGGAGGAAAGAGACCAGGAGGCTGCCCGGAGTCTGGGTGTCCAAGGCACTGGCTGAGTGGGGCTTGATTTTGGTGCTTAGGCATTGAGGTTGCTCTGTTACTGACTTCTATTAGGATGGAACATAGAATCTTTGAATGTTGCCCCAGAAAGCACTTCTTCCAGTCCCCACTCCCTACTTTAGGGGCAAGGCCAAGCACCGCCCGCCCGTCTCTCCAGTGGCAGGGCCTGGAGCCTCAGGAGGTGCAGTGAAGCCTTGTGAAGCTCAGGGACTTTATTTTTTTTTCTTTCTTTCTTTCTTTTTTTTTTTGTATTACCAGGGATGGAATTTAGGACCTTGTGCTTGCCAGGCAGGCAAGGTGCCACTGAGCTACATCCCTGGCCTGCAGACATTTTCTTTCCCACCACTGGAACCCCTTCCTCACTCTGCCAAGCCTAGAACCTCACCCAGAAGTGAGTTTTTATCTTCAGGGCCCTTAACAGCCAAAGACTTGGGAAATGCAGGTCTATGCAAAAGGCAGATGCTCAGGGTCTGCATTCTGGACCACTTAAAAAAATTCTTTGGCTGAAAGGCAACAGGAGCTCTAGCTCCATGTGGTGATTTTGCCACTTCCTTAAAAAGATCTGTGACCCATATAGAGCTCCTTATGATTTAAAACACACTTGCATATCCATTAGGATTTTTTGTACCTCTGTCACTAATATTTGTGTAACATATGTAAGCATGGGAGGGGTCATCAATGTTACCTTACAGGGAAGAAAATGGAAGTTCAGGTAGGTGCAGTGATTTGCCTAAGGTCACACAGCCATTCGCAGTCATGACCAGATTCAGGACTCCATCCTCCATCACATCCTCCATCATAAGCCATAATGGCAGATTGGGCCAACAGGAACTGCAAAGGCTGCAAGAGGAGGCAAGAGGATGTTGAGTGGGGTGCAGAACAGGTGACGGGAAACCTGCAATCCTGTGGAGTTGCTGTGCAAGAAACTTTCTCTGGGGTTGGCCACTGCTTTATCTGATTCTGTTCTCCTTCCCCCTCCTGTAGAATTAGAAGGGCCCCGCGGTGCTGACTCAAATGAGAAGAGTGACACCCAGGGGCTTTCCCTGGGGCTAAACACCCTCTGTCCCAGAAGTGACAGTGACTCAGTCGCCGCATCCCCCCTCCCCATCCTCCCGAGAGCTCTGGTGTCCCCAAGGAAGGTCTCTCGGGGAAGCACGGAGAGCAGAAAGGCCTTGCCTTGCTCGCTCTAGTCGTGCCACTTGTAACCCACAAAGAGACAGACTTTGGAATAGATGCCACAGAGCCACTGGGGAATGTATTTATATATTTAAAAACACATGCAGAGAAACAAAAACTTCTGGGAACGGCCACGCACAGGAGCTTAGCCGCCTTCCCAGGGGTCGGTCAGCAGTGGGCTGGGGGTGGGGTGGGGGAGGGAAGAGTCCTTGCTCCCTCCCCTCCCCTTAAACCGAGGCGCGCCCTCCAGGGAGCCAGGCCACCGAGGTGACAGATGCTAAGCAGCTGACTTGAGGGGAGGTCCTTCCCCACCGATGCCCCAACTGCTGGGAGGAAGCGAGGACGTGACTTGGAGAAGGCGACACAGATCAGAGGAGAGAGGAACGGAGGCAGAGGGGCGTGACTGGCCTCGGCCCCGCCCACCCGCGAGAGGCCAGAGGCCAGAGGCTCCGCCCCCGGCCCTTGAGGATATGCTGAGCTCAGCGCTTCTCGCGCGGCTTGCCGAGTGGGGGCGGGGCGGGCGCCTGTCAGGAGGAGGAGGGGCGCCATGAGGCTCAGGGACGTGGACCTGGCAACAAAGCAGCCTCTGTGGTGGTGGGGGAGGCCTCCTGGGTGCATGCAAAGCCTAAGGGGGGAACGTCTGAGTCACCACCCTAAACCCTGACTTAGCCGCGAGAACCCACGTCAGAGAGGCCAAGCCCCTGTACCCTCTGACCCCGGGATTTACAGGGCTGCCTCTGTCGGGCTCTGTCCAGAGCGGCCGGCCTCCTCCAACTCTTGCAGCCCTGGACTTGCATTTAAAGCAAGCTTGAAAAGAGCAGGGCAAGATCGGCTCGGGAGGGGAAGCGAGCACACCTTTTGTTCCCACCTGGCACAAATGGTGAGCCAGGCCTAGCGGGTGGGCAGCTATTTTTGAGCTGACCTACATACCCATTTGCCTCTTTATCTTTTTATTATTACAGGCGGTCATTATGGGCGCTTTTCTTTCTCTCCCGTGCAGCTGTGGTGTTGCTGAGGGCTGCACAATAAGGCGCGTTGCCTCACCCGTCCCGGAAGTTTTGAAGAGTGTGTGGCCTGGGCAGGAGGGCCATCAGCCGGCCTGCAGAAGCTTCCCCAATCTTCTCACGGAGCAGGAGCCCAGCCCTGATGCCAGCGCCACAGATCCACCTCCATTCTCTCCCTGGAGGCAGAGTAGACACGGGTGGTTTTTTTGTTTTTGTTTTGTTTGGTACCGGGTATCGAACTCGGGTCCTTGAGCTTGCGAGGCAGGCGGCAGAACCACTGAGCTAAATCCCCCCCCCCCCCCCCGTTTTTTGAGACAGGGTCTCGCCACGTAGTTCAGGCTGGGCTGGCCTCAAACTCACGGCAATCCTCCTACCTCTGCCTGAGTGCTGGAATTACAGGCGTGCACCACCATGCCTGACTGAGACTCAGAGTTTTAATTTTAAAAATTGTTTCAGGGGCCAGGGATTTAGCTCAGTGTTTCCTTCCCAAGCGCAAGGTCCCGAGTTCGATCGCTGGTACCAAAAAAAACCCCAAACCAAAACGAAAAAATAAAAAAATTGTTATAGGTGCTGGAAATTGAACCCAACCCTTCACAGTGAGCCACCCCGAGTCCACTTTTCTAAAATGTTTGAGGCAGGATTTTTTGTTTTTTTGTTTTTTGGTGCCGGAGATCGAACTCGGGACTTTGTGCTTGTGAGGCAAGCGGCAGAACCAGAGCTAAATCCCCCATCAAGACAGGATTTTGATTGAACTTGAGAATCTCCCGCCTCAGCCTCCCAGAGTATTGGGATTACAGGGGTGCACCACCATAACCAGTTGAGTCTCAGATTTGGTAACAGTGTCCCTGGGTTAGGAGACGCCCGGTGAGCAGGGCTGCTTGTCATTTACAGCTCTGTACAGGCCCCTCTTCCTTTAAGCAGAAACCAGGAGAGCCGGCAAGTTTCTGTTTATTTTACCTTTGCCGAGCCTCCCTAGGTCCTCCCCAAACCTTTTTAATAGCTCCCCATTGCCTCTAGGGGAGTCGGGCTGCTGCTCCGCCCCGGAGAGCCTGGGGGCAGGCCCTAGCCTATCTGTAGCTTCATCTTCCTCCCTTGGCCCAGGAGGGGGAAATCACATACGTTTCTAATTACCTCGGAAACGCTCTTAAATTTTCCATAAAGTACAGTATGCCTGGCTTTGTATACACAACTTTATACAGTAATATGCATGTGGATGTGCAAAATATACACAGCCACCTAAGGAGGACCATAAAGAAGACACCAGCCAGCTTAAGCGTGTAATTTACAGAATTTAATCACACTGAAGAGAGGCAGATACAGACCGGGAAGGAGACTGAGGGAGGCAGCAGCAGATTTCTGACCTCTCATCTGTGTCGTGTCGCCCCCCCCCCCCCCGCGAACCTCGCGTCCCTCGCGTCCCTCGCGTCCCTTGAGCAGGCGTGGGGGAGGGGGCGACGCCTGCGCACATTAATCCGCCCTCAGAGCTGGGCTGTCCCCCATGGAGTCCTCTGCGTCCAGGTTCCCGCGCCCTGTGAGATTCCACTCCGTTCCCTTCTAGCTTGTTCTGCCCTTTACACCCCATACCTGTGGATTCCACCAAGTACAGATCCAAAAAAATCCAGACACAAAAATCACATCTGTGCTGAGCAGGCCTAAGCATTCACAGTATGACACCTATTCCCCTAGCATTTACGTTGCATTGGGTATCCTAAGGGATCAGAAGATTTAAAGTATATGGGCCGGTAGACACACACAGTCTACTTTTTTGTTTTGTTCTCTCCTTTGAGACAGGGTCTCGCTATGTAGTTCAGGCTGCTCTTGAACTCACTGTGAAGCCCAGGCTAGCTTCAAACTCCGGTGATCCTCCGCTTCGGCTTCCTGAGTGCTGGGATCACAGGCATGCGCATCTGAGCCTGACTTAGAGCTCCCGTATTTTAAATCTTTCTCCATCCCCACTACGACGGCCACCATGAGCTGCAGGGCCACAGTCAGATGTGTATAGTATCTGCTCAGCAAGTACTTGGCCCAGAATTGAGTGGAACTGGAGCCCACAAACTGACTGGAGCTCAAAGTGGAATTGGCATTGACCTCTCCCAGGCACTGGGGAACTAACCCTGCTTCCCCTGAACTGGGATAGCACTTAATACAGTCTCAGAAAATTAAAACAGCAAGGGGGGTTCCCCTTGTTTCCTGAAGGAGACTAGAGGGGAAGTGGGCCTAGCAGAATAGGAACCACACCCCGCTGTCAGCTGCCGTCTCTCCACTGCACCTCCTCAGCGTGAACTTTTGATCCATCTGCCTCAGCCTCTGTGTGCAACACAGTGACCAGAGAGCTGTTTTCTTTTAGAGCGCTCACCCCACTTGGAATTATTACAAATGTACTCACCTGTGTGTGTTTAATGCCTGATTTTCCCACTTACCCGTGAGCTCCAGGAGGTCAGTGGTTCTGTTCCATTCTGGATCTCCCAGTGCCTGGCCCACAGGGTTCCCAATAAATATGAGGAAAAGAAGGGAAGAAAGAACCAGCGAGGTGGTGCACTCCTGTCATCCCAGCACTCAGGAGGCTGAGGCAGAAGGATGGCTGTGAGTTCAAAGCCAGCCTGGGCTCCATAGTGAGACCCTGTCTCCCCCAACACCAAAAAAAAAAAAAAGAAAAAAAGGCAAGGGTTATATTTTGGAAAGATATCCAAGACCCACTATTAGGTGAAAAAAAATATTGCAGAACAATTTGTGTACTGTAATCCCATCCTAAAGGAAAAAGAGAATATTCCCTTGCAGACACACCTTTTTTCTTTCTTTTCTTTATTTTTTCTTTCTTTCTTTCTTTTTTTGGTACCAGGGATCGAACTTGGGTCCTTGCGCTTGTGAGGCAGGTGGCAGAACCACTGAGCTAAATCCCCGGCCCTCTTTTCAAAATTTTTTTTTAATTCAAATTTTAGTGTTTTTTTGGTACCAGGGATCGAACTCAGAACCTTGCCCTTGAGAGGCAGGTGCAGTGCCACTGAGCTAAATCCCCAGCACCCCAGCCCTCTTTTCTTTATTTTTTGAGATGGGGTCTTACTACATTGGGCAGACTGGCCTCAAATTCCAGATCCTCCTGGGCGAGGGATTTAGCTCAGTGGTACTGTGCCTGCCTTGAAAGCACAAGGGCCTGAGTTCGATCTCTGGTACAAAAAAAGAAAATTTCAAATCCTCCTGCTTCAGCCTCCAGAGGACCTGGGACTACAGACTTGTGCATAGGCCCCTCCAGACACCTAGCCTTAAATGTACTGAGTAAACATCTAGGATCCAGGAGAAACTGCTCAGTTATGTCTAAGGGTGAAGCAGAAGGAGGAGGCTTTTACTTTTACTTTACACTTTCTGCACGGCTGGATTTTTACCATGAGCACATAGTACTTGCAAAATTTTTTTTTTTTTTTCAGAGACAAGGTTTTGCTATGTAGTTCAGGCTGGCCTTGAACTCATGGAGATCTTCCTGCCTCAGCTTCCCCAAGTGTTGAGATTACAGGTGTGGGCCACTACATCGGGCTCACAATTGTGTTTTTTCTGGTTCCAAGTTTTTGTAACCCAGGTCCTCAGACACTCTAGCCAAGTGTTGTTCCGATGAGCTGCTTCCTCAACACTCAAGATGTTTTTGGTTTTGATTTTTGCTTC